CATCAGAGAATCATACTTTATTAAAACCGTCCTCTTATTGATGGCCATTCAAGTTGCTTCCAGATTTTTCCCTCTACAAATAGTATTTCAATAAACATTCATATGTACTAAATTAAAAAAGAAAAAAAAGGACTGTTTTTTCTAGGATAGATTTCTCAAATTAGAAATATTTGATCTAACTTTAAGATCTACTAGATACTGTAAACTTACTTCTCAAAGTTTGCAGAAAGTCACATTCCAACCAGCAATTTATGTGTGCCCATATTCCAATACCCACATCGCTAGATAATAGAAATTTTTACCAACTTGATGTGTTAAAAATTCTCTTTATGTTTTAAATGGATAATATCTTGACTTCTAGTGCAGTTAAGCATTTTTCCATCATTTGTTTAGATGCTGTTTTTATTCCCTCTACTTGAGGAAGTCTGCAGATATTCACTGGCTGACAATAGCAGTGTTGAGAGTGGGAGACAGGACACTTTCTACCAACTATCAGTTTCCCTGATACACTTACCTTCTTCTAGGCTCTATCCCGCTCCCAAATTCCTGCTTGCCTTCCCACAGGAAGTCCGCTACAGACACTAATTATCTTTCACCATTCTTCAAGGCTCTATAGTTCCCTTCAGAACTACTTTCACCTGCTCATTTTTCTTTGCCCATTTTGCTAGTTAGTAGTCTATCTTCCCTATTTGATGCAGCGTGTGAACTAGACCATTAACAATTTGTCTTATATAGTATATTAATTAAAAAAAAATTACACGTTATTATTTTACTTAATGATCCACACCATTTGAACAAAATTCATTTGGTTTTAATCATATTTACCATTTAAAGCAAGCTGCACCATTTTAGTTTAAATTTTAAGTTTCTATTTTTCTGCTGCTTTTAGAAATTCACTTTTTTAATTTAACCACATGCATTTCAGTATAGTGCTATAATAAGGTAATTGCAGAAAAGCCATTAATGAATGTTATTTTACTTTATTAAACAACAGCAAAGGAACTATAAAAATTTGAATAGCTTTATACACAAGTCAAAAAATTTTCAAACTCAGAAATGGACTTTTTTTTTCCTTTACATTTGGGAAAAACTTTCTCTCAGGGGCTCCTATTTCAAAACCCAAATGGGATTTCAAAATACAAGTAAATAAATGTCAAACCTCTTGGCCTCTATTCTGCCATTCTATGCCTGAAATCCTGCCAAAATGAAATCTTCCATTCAAGAGGGACTGGCATTTACTAAGCTGATTTTTTAAAGACTCATTTTCAAAAGTAGTGGAAACTTTGTGCAACTCTTGACGTTCCCCTCTGTGGAGAGAACAGCTGCCTCTGTAGACATTTTCCACAATCGTAACATTTTCTGAAAAACAAAACTTGAGCCCTTCCAAGGTCTGTAGCCATTGGGTCTGTTGGTTTTCCCCAGTGCCAAGCACAGAAGATAAACAGCCGCCAAACTAAAATCTAGTGTCTCAGAGAGCATCAAGGCACAAGAAGGACAGAAGAGAAAGTGGGAGAGAGAAAGGATCATGGTTCAACCGTTCACTTGCAAGAATGGCACATTTGTCTCAAAATTTAAAGCTGTTTCAACAAAACTGTGCTGTAGGGAAAGTGACTGCTTTTTCACATTTTCAATTAAAGTCCTAAGATCAAATAGTTAAATGCTATAAGTCTGTTTAAAGAATTAGAAAGGGAAAATAACGGAGCTCCGGCAATACGATGTAAAATCGAAGGATTAGCTAGCAGTTTGGGTAGGCGGGTACAGCAGGAGGGTCAGGATGGGGGCCTGTGAAGGGAGAGTTTTGGGTAAATGAATACTAAAACTGCCAGCAGGCTGAAACCTGTAATATTCCTAAAAGAAACTTTAAAAAAAAAATAGCAAGAAATTCGTGGGATGAATCAAAGGTAAAAATGAAAATTACAGAATCTTCAGTGAGAAAAAAGAAATCTCTCTACAGTATCAAACTGTTTGCAGTTCTAAAAACAATGACTTGACGAAGCAGCAAGCTAAGAGCTCTCTCCTCACTCTCCTTAATTCTCTTCTTTTGCTCTGGCGCAGCTTTTTTTGTAGACAGTGCACCCCGGAATTATCCCCGCATGAACCTTCCTTTAATTTCATACTTAATTTTTTTCCCCCCTTGTTATTGCTCTCAAAGCACCTTTTTTTTTTCCTCTTCTATTATTGTTTCAGAATCTGGACATAGTGGAGGTAGCGAGTCAGAAAGAAAAGTTTTGTGATTTGGGGAACTTGGGCCTTTGTTGTGTTTCCCCCGCCACGCCCCCAACCACGTGACCAAGAGAGACCGGAATTTTGTGAATGGAGCTGAAAGGTGGCTGCGGGGGCGTGGAGGCTCCGCCCCCTTCCCTTAGGTGCCCAATCCCCTAGCGGAGCGCTGCGGGGTCAGCGATAAACAACAATGGGCTGGGAACCTACGGTTTGTTATTGGCTGCGGGGAGAACCTCGCGGAGACCTAACCCGAAGCTCCTCCCTCTACCGGTTACCCTGGATACGGGTCGGGCTCCTGCAGCAGAGAAGGTCTTTGGAAACTGTTGCTCAGATTACAGTGGGTGGGTTATCCTGGGAGTGCTAGGCGGCGGGACACTCTTGCTATTGGCCCCCCGCCTGGGTGCACTCGCAGTAAGTACACCAGAGCCTTATAGGCCTTTAGCCTCCGGCCAAACTGCTCCCAGAACTCCTCCCTTGGCGGGGTTAAAGTGCAGTTCCCGCTCAAAATACTTGTCGGTTCGCACGTTGTCACAGGCTAGTCGGATTTGCTCGAGTTTCAGTGAATGCACAGTGTGTTCCTGGCTACCCGTAATTATTGGTTGTTTTCCCAGTAATAACTGTTTTCTTTGTTTCTTGTTTTTGCATTGACGTACACCTTTCCATTCCTGGTTACCCCATGGGTCCGGAGTTGAGTCTTGTGCGCTCACATTCCATTTTAAAGCGTTTCCACAACGTTCCATTTAAGAAAGGAAACTTTCAAATAGAAATTGAGAACTGCAGCACGTTTCCCAACCGGCGGAACAGCTGCCGGAAACGTCCTTTGGTCACCAGCTCTGCTCTAGTCGCCACCAGGATTACAAGTCGATTTCAATACCACTAAGCCCCTGGTCATAGCGACCTTATAGGACAGAGTAGAACTGACCCATAGGGTTTCCAAGGCTGTAAATCTTTACAGAAGCGGACTGCCACATCTTTCTCCAGCAGTGAGGCTGGTGGGTTCCAACTGCTGACCTTTTGGTTAGCAGCCGAGCCGGAATCCACTAGTTGGCAGTGGTTTGGTTTAAGCCTCTAGTCCCATCTCCGCGGCCTCCCACCGCTTGATGGGTGGTGACTCATCACTGCTCCAAACCCCGTAGGAGGGTAACCCGGTAAGTGGCTCCAGAGACGCAGCCCTCACTTTTCAACGTCCTAGCCATTGTCCTTGAAACCCAAGCCCCCTCACCGCTCTTCCCCAACTCCCGGCTCCGGCTATTTGAAAAGCTCGAGAGGAAGTGAAAGCGTCAAGTACAGTAAGTGACACCCTCGCCTCGGTGTATACATAACAAAAGCTCAGGAAACGTGCTGGTCCCCGGGATATCAGAGCCACCTCATCCTCTCCCCTGTTCGTCCCCACCTCCACAGTGGGCTGAAAGCACCTTTCTCCAATGCACACGTAGGTAGATATTTAATTTTTATACACTTTTCCTCACCTAGATTGCCCTATAGTCCTTCCCCCCGACTCCCCGTTCTCCAAAGACAACTGTCCCTTCCTCTCCTAATAAGCATTTCCTCTGCTTGTCGCAGAAGCTTTCACCATAAGATACTTTCTTTTTCTGTCTCACCAACGACAGCATCTAGTTTTATTTGAGAATAGCTCTTAAAAAAAAAAAAAAAAAAAAGCTCGATAAGCCGTAATGCTGGTGGTGGTAGGAGGGTGTTGAAAAAAGGGATAACAACTTGGCCAAAAGCTTAGTGGGAACAAGGCTAGGGAGCGAGGTGGGCTCCTTGTCAGGTCAAGAGAAAGGCTGGAGACCTTGGGAGGATTGAGAGAGGTTTGTGGATCGCGCTTCAGAATATATACACCTGAACAGAACCAAAGTGCTTTAAGGAAATCTGCCCAGTAGTGCACCAGCTACTTGGCAGCAGTGTCCCCGGGCGTCTTAACAATAGCTGCGGGTAGGAGGGGAGTCGATTCCCACTGGCTTTTCCAGGCTGCGAATTCCGCACCTCTCGGCCGCTGGGCACCCGGCTCCGGCAGAGGGGCGAGCGAGATCCTCGAGAAGGGGCAGCAAGCCGCCTGATTGACAGCCCGAAATCTGATCTTGTGAAAGAGACGCGGAGCCAATGGGAGGCAGCGATCCATCAGTTTGGATTGGAGGCCCCTGGAGGAGAAGTAGAGGAAAAACCACTGAAATGAGCTCTGTCAGAGGCGCTTTCAGCTTCCAAGGGGGAAGTGCTGGGCAATAATTAATGTTTTTATTAAATTTGGAGGGAATTTTTTGCAGCCGTTCGCCTAGCTTGGCCTTCAGGTGGGTCTTTCCAACAACTTTTTGTGTCTCTCCAGATAATTGCATGGTTGTGGGTTGCAAAAACTATCCTTACGAAAGAGGTGTCTCCGTCTCTTTAGTCCCGTTAGGTGCAAGGCAAGTCTCGTTGATCGCCATTGCTAGTTTTGCACACGTTTGCGAATCAGCGCTGCCCGGGGTACACTGACCGCGCAGGGAAACATCGAGAGTGTAAATAAATGCATCGCCTCTTGTTCGGATTTTTGCTACTGCCGAAAATATGTAAATTGTGAACTCTCTTGGCTCTCTTTGGATCCAGGTGAAGGAGGCGGTGTAGGGAGGGTTATTTTTGTGAATGGGACTTTCGGAGGGTAATTAGCTATGCAAATTCAAGAGCTTCATTCATGATTTTTTTTTTTTTTAAAGCCTAAAAGCCATCTTGTTCCCCTCTAGGTTGACAGAAGTCCAGATCCCGAGGAAATCTCCAGCTAAATGCTCAAAATATAAAATACTGAGCTGAGATTTGCGAAGAGCAGCAGAATGGATGGATTTTATGACCAGCAAGTGCCTTACATGGTCACCAATGTGAGTGATCAGTTCGAAAGTTGCTGTTTATAAACTTGACTCCGGCGGGGGGAGGGAGGGAGGAGTGGGGGAGGGAGAGGATGAAAAGGGGGTTGGGATTGCAGATACTTTATCTGCTTTGTTGCCACTGTAGGGCGACTCTGCTTCTAGAAGCCCAGTCTTCAAAATGAGCTTACCTTTCAGTGATTTGGATAAGGCATAGCTTTGTTTTTAAGACCCCTTTTTCTGATTAAAGTGTCCAAGATGAGTGGAAGAGGAGACGGAGGGCAGCAGCAGCTGCTGCGCTCAAAGTTTCTGGCTGGGTTTGTCTGCCACATTGAAAAGAATGAAGTTGAGACAAATGCTGACACTTTTTGTTTACATGGGGTGTTTTTGTTTCTTTTCCCCTCATTTTCTCTCTTATTTTTTAAATTTCTCCACTCTCTTTTAGCTGCCTTTTTTTTGTGGGTATCTGAGAAACTAGAATTCACTGTATTTTAATCCAGCCTAAAAACGACTTTAAGTCAAATTGCTTGATGTTGTTTTGATGCTGAGATACCATGAATCTATGACTGATAAATAGTAGAATGTTAGAATCGGCATAGGGCAGCAACTCTCTCTTGGCTGTTGAAGTCTCAGTATAGGTTTTCACCGTCATGAATGCAGAAAATGAATATTAGAATTGATACTATAGAATTTATTTTTTCTGTTGAGAGAGAGGATCCAGCAGACTTTATGTTATTTATGCATGTGTTTTTTGTATGTGATATCTGAGGTTTACATTCTTTTAAAGGATTTTATCTTTCCCTTTTAGAGTCAGCGTGGGAGACATTGTAACGAGAAACCAACAAATGTCAGGAAAAGAAAATTCATTAACAGAGATCTGGCTCATGATTCAGAAGGTGAGGTTTGATTTTGGGCTGAATTCCCCCTATTTACCCGCCCCCCCCCCCAAAGAAGAGAAACACTTCAATCTTATCTTAAAAATAGTAAACTTTGAAATAACTGAATTTAACTAATACTTTTATTTGGAGAAATTTACATAATGTGACAGTTTGCATTGGAGAATGTTTTGTGGTCTTGTCACAAAACTAATGAAAGAAGTAAATAAAAATTCCAAGTGACATCCTTCTTTTAATCATTTTTTTATGTTTAAATACACTTGTCCCTATGACACATAACTAATATCATACAGTAAGTTATGAATTCTAAAATAGTCAACACATCGGGACACATTGAGCAGCTATGTACAATGTGTACACTGCTGAAGTTTTTCTTCCTACATTATACAATTGTTTGATTTCCTATCCCCTTTATGTTAAAATCATATACTATTATCAAAATTTTCATGAAAGATTTTAATGTCTATAAGGTAGAGTCATAATACCTTATTTATAGGCCTTAAAAGTGTTCACTGAATCATAATGAGGGCCTAATTAATAATTACATTACTTATTCAGAAAGTTAGGCTACAGATTCTTTTCATGAACTATTGGTAGGAGGTCAATATATTATAAATTATTTCAGCCATATGGGAGCATTCATAATAAACTTAATATAATTAGATTTAACTGTCAAAGTTCAGTTTTCAATTTAGATTAGATATGTTGAATTCTGAAACTTCCTCAAATCCTTATACTTATTGAAGACCTCCCCACCAAAAAACAGGACAGAAAACACAATTTTGGACTTGATAATTCACAGATGCCAGGGAATTATTTCTCTTTGATTTTGTAAATCTTTTAAGGTAGAAATTTTTCTCAAAAAAACTTATATTTAAAAGTTGTCCCTTTCAGTGTTATGGTATTAAACCTGACAACATATAGTACTTTGAGGGTCATCTCAAGTACTGTTATATTATTTATATAAGATTCAGAAGATATAAATAAAATGCTTTTCGGTCTTTCTATTCTTTCTCTCACTATTTTAGCAAGAGTTGAATAAATTTGAGAAAGACTTCCACAGATAGAAACACCTTCCTTCAGCCTTTTTGTAAATCCTACTGTATGTGTGTTTGATGTTCCTAAGCTTATTTATTAAGTCTTTTGCTAAGGAAAAAAAAAAAAAAGACAATTACTATTTAGTGTTTGAACTATAAGAGCTTCTTAAAAAAGCATTGCTTAATTGGCATCAAAAATGTTCAGAATTGTTGAGATATGATTCCTATGTTTGTTTTTATATTGACCCCCCCCACAAGTTGAATTGATATTGAATACCAATTTTACAATGATGAACATTTCTGCTTAATGAAGACTTAAAGGTTTGCAAATCTTATGTTACGTCCTTTGACTTTTTTTTTAGAACTCTTTCAAGATCTAAGTCAATTACAAGAAACATGGCTTGCAGAAGGTAAGGCAAAAAATTGCTGTAAATGGGAGAAAAGCAACTCTAGAAGGGAAAAAAAAAAGTCCTGAACTTGCTGTCTTAATGTTCAGCCCAATTAATTGAGCTCTAAAAGAGCCACCTCATGTGTCATGCATACATTAGAGCCTCTGATGAGTTTGTCTTTGGGGACTCTGGGGCTGCACTACCCAGTGTCATCACAAATTACCAGGAGAAATTGCTTCCAGCTCACAATCACATCTGCTTTTGGCAAGAACTAATGCACCAAGACTTCAGGTTCTAAGCCTCTGTTCAGATTTTAATTGCAATTGATCAGGTTTATATTATTGTACCTCGAGAGACCTCCTAGAGCCAGAACCTGGCTTGCTGCTTCCTTTAGAGCAGCGCATATCATTATTTGTGTTCTGGTGGAGGACTTCTCTGATGGCAGAAATTAGTTTCTTTGGGTTCATCAGGACGGGATGCTTCAAGATTTAAGTGCAAGTGTCTTCTTTCCACCTTGTTCACAACACAGAACGTTAGGTGTGTATCTAATACTTAGGAAATCTCAATCTATGCATTTAAAATAAATCTTTGGGGGATTTGATGATTTAAAAAATGTTTTCTATTTGTTACTATACATGTGATGTTTGTTGAAATTGACCTTTGTTATTTTGTCACTTTTATTAGGATTTATTTACTATAGCAAGGAGACATTTAAAGATACTACTTTGATTTTGGATTATTTTTTGATAAAATTTTGCATTTAATCTATTATTCTTTTATTGTGTGAAACTTCATTTTATAGTAACACTAAGATATTGCTTCAGTAAAGCTTTATAGAACTTCAGAAATGCCCAGTGTTGAGGGATCTTGTGGGCATTCATAATTTGAAATTTTTCTTTTGCATTTAGTATAATGAATGTGAAATTTTAATTTTATCCTGTGATGTGTTTTGTGGGAAAGAGAAAGAAAATTATAAATATTTAAGCCTTGAGTAAAATTGTGTTATTTTTGTCTTCACATTATATGGGAAACACACAATTTCTTGAACAGATTTTTAAGATGGTAAGGAGAGAGAGGGTCTCTTTAAGTTGAACCCAAGTGTTGCTGTAGGTACTTGGAGGCTGACTGACTTGTTTTATCCCGTGGTCTTGCAAACAGTTGATCAAGTTGCTGTTAGTATGTAAAATAAGTTTCTTTGTTTTGCTGATATTCCAGTTCTCCAAAGAGCTTTTGCAATCTTTATGAATCTTTTAAGTTAAGTAGATTTCCTGGTAGTCCTTTGAAAGGGCGATTGTATTTACGTGTTAATGAAAGGTAAGTATTTATGAAAGTTTTAGTTACATTTAAAGGTCATTTTTCCTGTCTCTGTAAATGAAACTTATTGCAATAGATTACTTATTATTGCAACATAAGCCATACATTCAAATGTAACTTTTTCAAGAAAAAACCCCATAGAGCTTCTCATGTTGACTTTTATCTATTAATTTTGTAAAGTTGAAGGTTGTGAGGTTATTGCGTTTATGAGGGTGTTTGTTCGTTTATCCAAAAGAACTTAAAATAGCTATTTTAAATGTTCTGGAAGGTTTGTTGCTTCTTAAGATTTTAAAATCTCATTGATTCCAAGTCAGTGCACTTGCTGGCAGATTTTGAATGTGCATAGCAACTCTGTTACTGGAATTTTAAAATACAGAATCTGTGACAGACTCTTAAAATTTTATAATCAATTTCAGTACTTTTTTTGGTACTTTTGACTTGTTTTGTTTCTTGTAGCTTGAATAAGTGATTTGAATAATCTATCCAAGTTTTTCTTTTAAAGCTCTGCATTGAATATTCTTGCTAATGATTTAACATACCTGCAAATCAAATCTGAAGGTTTTACTTTATATAAAATAAACCTAGAAAATGACCGATGTATTTGAAAAACATGGACTTTTTCTTAGAAAAGAATGCATAAGCTTAAAAAGTTCAGGAATGAATCCTTAGAGTGTTTTATTAAATACCCAGGTGAGCTACTATTTACAAACTAAGGATAATATTGTATTTAGAAGAATTCAAATATTTGTCAGAATAATTTCATTTATCCAATCATGAGATAAGCAAAAGTTGTTAACATGATTTTTTTTCACCTAATAGTAAGAAGAGTCTTTTTTAACCATTGGTTAATAAACTCCACATTTATTTTTGTTTGAGTAATTAAACACAATTTGAGTATTTTGCATTAAGATTTTAACTTGACTTATTCTATGGATTGACTAATTAGCTAAAAAGAGATCTCAAAATTATCCTACTTTATTTGTAGCTAGATTTGTCCATTTATGTCCTTCTGAACATCTAGAAATTAAAACATTGCCAAATTGGCAGACTGTATGCCATTTACATGTTTCTTTTCTTAATGACCTTAATGACCTGAACGCCGAGAAACTGACCATGGAATTTTAAGGCATCTTGACCCGTTTAAAAAAGATCTCTGTCAATTAACCAAGTTTCTCTCATGAGTTAGAATCCCAGTGGGAAATTAAACAGGTCTAAAAATCTTATTACACATGAGTCAAGTTAGCTGTAATGTGTTACATAAAAACCATGTTTTTAAAAAATAATCAAAGTCTCTTAACTACGTGGAGTATGATATATCTTAGCATACTTAATCTGTTCTTTCTTGTAAGAATTTTTCTAAGGTAGACCTAAAACTCCACATGTGGATTAAGTCACTGGGTAGATTAGTATGGGTTATGAAACGTGAATTTATGAATTTACTTCTAAGAGGAAGTTGGGGTAGCTTAGGCAGGACTATGTGAGTGTGAGGATGGAACCAGTATTTTCAGTTTACTAAAATCATCTCTAAATACACTTCCATGCTCTCTAAAAAAATAATTTCTATATAGGGATAAAAAATGCGTTTGTGAAGAATATAACTTTATATTAATATCACTTTTTGTATGTTAACACTACAATTTAAAAGTTTTTAACATAAGTATCATAATTTAAAATAATCACGGCTTATTCTGAGTTTAAGAAAATTGAAACACTAATGTTTTCTGCGACCATAGTAGTAGTTAAAAAAAAAAAAATCAGAGAATGTCTAGCTCGTATTTGTGCCAGAGTTACTTCACATTATAATTTTACTATGTACAATTCTTTATTGATTATTTATCTTTTGAACAAGAGTGCTACTGACAGAAAGGCAATTGCAATTAGCTGATCCCATCAAATAATGAGTTCGAGTATCAGTCTTACCCATAACATGATAATGTCTTATGCTTTAACAACCTGTTTTAAGTTGTGCTTTAGGGACTGATGTCCTAGAAATTCACAGTTAAATTTCGACCCTTTGTGTGAGTAGGACAGATAGAGAAGGATGTAAACTTGAATTTAAAAAAAAAATTGCATTCTTGAAAACTTGCTTATTAAAGCTTACCTACTAACACAATTTAAATAATAAACTTCAGTGTATATATGTATATACACATACATATATAAGTACATAGTTACTTTTGAGAGTAATTTTTGGTGGTGGTCTAGAAGTTCTTGAGGTTCCCTTTCCTCAGTAATATTAAAGAAAAAAGTCAACCGTGATTCGCTACCATCAGGATAAAATATTTTTCAATTACTTTGTAGTAGTGAAGCTTTGTGCTCCCACCACATATCCAAGTCAAAGTTTTATCTCCAAGAACAAACTTTCTACACCAAAAGTTATTACCTCATAGAAATACTTTTTTTTTTTTTTGGTTTTATGTGACGGTCTAATAGTCAGGTTGACTTAAAAGTAGAAATATCATAATTATCATCTCAGTTTGCTTTGATGGCTGATTCTAAATTCATATCCCAAGTCATTTTTTATGAAGTCCCTTAAATAATCTGTGCTATTGTTATTTGCTGTACAGAATGTCATCCGTAATATACCGTAGTCATAATGCACTCATGTTTATATATCAAAGATTGTAGTTTTTTTTAATGGAACGTACAATTAGATAAGTGTTCATGAATTTTTTTTTTCCTCCCCTGTGACACAGTAAGGAATAAAGGCTTTCAAAGCTACATTATTGTATTTGGTTTACATAAAAAAAGGAATTAAGAATTAAGCATTAAATTATAGAAGTCCAAAAATTTCTTAAGAGTTGAGCAAGAGGCATTTGATTTGTATGTGTGTGTGTGAGGTGTATGTGTGTGTAGTGAAGGGGTTACAACCCTCTTTCCCTGCACCAGGAAGTACTTAAAAATACAAAAGAATGACTTCTCAATTGGACTTAATTTAAAGATAGCAGGTAGAGTAAATGTATTTTGATTCTAAATATTCATTGGACTTGTAGAAATGTTTTCTCATCTAGGATCTATATGCCAAAAAGAAAAGTGCTTTAAAAAAAATAGAAACATTGAATTTGGTGTTGCATAGGTAGCAGTTTTTCCCAGAGGGTTCTAGTAAATGTTAATGAAGTATTGCTGAGCTGTTCTCATTCAGTTACAGGAAACACATAATTCTTTGCGTTTCATAATATGTCTTGATTCCCTTTGACCTGTGTACAATTTTGTAGTAATAATAATGACAATATTGTCGGCACCTCTGTAGCATTAGATAAAATATTTGTCTAGAAACACCTAGTTGAATCTGAACTACTCTTAAGTTTTCAAGTCGCTGCAGGTCAATTTAGTTAAGAAATGAAGCTGAGTTGATACTAAAGACACTTAAAACTTACTGTTTTCTTTTATTTACTTTTAGAATATTTAGAAAACAATGTCTTTATCAAGTATTAAAGATGTTTCTGTCACAGGGAAATAGCCCCCATTTTTGTGTGTGTTTAAGTATGTTTATACTTCTTGCATTAATTAATGCTTATACATTGGTACAATGATTTTAATGTTAAAAGCGGATGTGGTGTAAAACCAGGCTTAGTGGACTCATGATTATTTTGTTCCATGGCCTGAAGCTTTATTTTAGGATTAAACAGAATACCACTGTTCGAAGGCTGATTTTCTTGCTGTTTTATTTAAAAAACATTTTAAATTTCTTCAGAGAACTGATTTCT